TAGTAGGATGCAGAGACAATTGAAATGGAAAAACAGGAAAAAGTAGAAAAGGTCAATATTTTTTTTATGAATGAACTGCTTCACATTAATCTTTCTGTTTTCTTCTAACCAGTCATAACTTTTGCCAAAACACCCTAAAAGTCAAAAGGTCATGACTCATAGCTTCTCTCTATCTCCCTCTCTCTCTCTCTCTGTCTGTGTCTGTCTGTCTGTCTCTCTCTCTCTCTCTCTCTCTCTCTCTCTCGTTCTCAGTTCCATTCTTAGTTTTCTCTCCCCCCCCCCCCCCCCCCCCCCCCCCACTCTCTCTCTCTTTTATAATCTATCCCCCTCTCTCAACCTTTTTTATTCTCTCCCTCTCGCTCTCTCTCTCTCGCTCTGTCTGTCTCTTATTTCTCATTTTACTTAACTCTCTCCCCACTCTCTATCATCATTTGCCCTCTTCACTTTCTTCTCTTCCATCCCTGCCTGCTCTCCATTTATTTCTCTTCTCTTTTTGTCTGTTTGTCTGTTTGTCTGTCTCTTTCTGTAGCAAAATGTTCACCTCTATTGTAAAAAAAAAAGTGAGAATTTCCATTTTCACTGCCATTCTCTTCCTCTTACTAATAATTGCTAATCAACTATATTTGTAATTTTCGCTACCTTTTTCCTTCCTTTTTTCCTTCCTCTTTCATTTTTCCTCTTCCTCACTTCTCCTTTCTTTCATTTTCTTTCACTTTCTCTCTCCTTCTCTCTTCCTCTTTCCACTTTGTCCCTAGTGAATTAAATGCTTTTTCTTTTTTCTCATACCTGTAGGCTAGGTCAAGTTTGTGGTGTCCTCATTTTAATAATTTCGGTAAAATATTTTTATATGATATTTTCCTTTTTCCTTTTTCTGACCGATCATCACTCTCGAGATCTTCCTCATTTGCTCTTTTTATTAAATTTGTCAAGCTTCTCTCTTACTTTATATTCCTCTATCTTCCTTCTCATTTTCTCCCTCAATCTTCCCTTCTCTCACTTTTTCATTATTTCCATACGCCACTTTTTCAGATTTTCTTTCCATCTTCCCTTCTCTAAATTACTTCCTCTTTTTCTCTTCCTCCCTCCCTCCCTCTCTTTCTCTCCCTCTCTCTATCCCTTGCTCTCCCTCTCTCTATCCCTCTCCCTTTCTCTCTCACTTTGGCAACGCTGACAAAAACAGGATTTAGCGGAAGCAGGTGTGGACTAGAGATAGAACCACCACCCAGCAATCCCCAGCACACTTATCAAATTCCCTTACTCTGTACAGACCTCATTATGCCAAAACAACCGACCAATCACGTCACTCCCTTCACCCTCACCCAAGCTCTGTAGTCTCAATACACAGACTCTAATTTGGAACAAAATTCCATCAAGTCTTGTTCCAAGCCTAGCTCTGGCTGTCTCAGCCCTCAGGAGCAACGATAATATAGGGCCTATGGTGTACGTTAGAATGTAGAGTCTGCATAGTCTCTTACTCTAGACACTCAATGATGCACTATGAGTAACAAGGGTCTGCGCATGCAAACTACACTGCACAAGTTCACCACAAGCTCAGCCAAAACTTTCTGGCTTGCTAGTCTTGGGTCGCAGCCAGTGAAAATAAAATTTCAAGTACACATACTGGATTTCAAATTATACACCTACATTGTATTGTAACATACATGTTTCTAGACTTTCTAGACTACTTATCAATTCTGCGCCAACTTGCGATGATCTAGCTACAGGCAAAATGAAAGAAACCTACCAAAAGTTGAATGACTCAAAGAGAAACAAAGGTCATCAATTTAAAGTTTCAAGCTACTGTACATTAAATGTAGGCTTCTTACCAGACTAAATTAAATCAGTTCATATAACAATAAAAGTCAAGTAGAATTAATCTAATTGATGCAGATACATATATACATGTCTATATTTTACAGAGCGCCTGTATGCTCCCACTGAATAACATTGTGTAATATATTCATTCAATTTTGTTTTACTTCTTTTTTTCTCCAGTTTGATGGACAAAAAGACCAAATGCCCCCCCCCCCCTAGGAAAACCCTAAACAAACAAGGCGATTGCTTATTTAAAAACACTATTTTGCTCTTGGAAGAGATGCCGTATTTAAATAACTTGTCTATAGAGTATAGAGAGAATGTGGCTTGAATAAGTTACACGCTCATCGGGTGATTTTTAAGTGTTTGGGCAGGTGTCGCGGACATGTTTCACTCGTTTGTAAAAATCAAGACGATTTACTGGCGATTACATCCTTAATTCATCTGCGCAAACAGATGGTTTACCAATCTTTTCTCAAACTTAACTTTGGCCTGAGGTAACCCCATAGATCATCCCCTAAATACCAGTTTATTCCAAAGAATACAATATTTCTAAATAATATCCCTCTCACTGACCCCTAACAAACACTTGATTCTTCAAATGTTGTGCTAAAGCCTAGGCAAGTGTGTGTACAAGTTCTTTTTATTAAAAGAAGAAGTCCATCCTGATATTAATAAAAGCAGAAAATTTAGAGAAAGTGAAAGTTTGAGCAATATCCGATTCGAAATAGGAAAGATACATTTTTTGAAGTTTGGGAACAATGAAGTATCTTGCGAGCTCCTCTCCAGTTCGCTCAGGACAGAAAATTGCATAAACTTTCATTTTCATAGTTAGGATGGCTGAATAGGATTTGTGTCATACATGGATGGTATAATAACATATTTGTAATAATTATATTTAGGATGAATGTATGATGAAAACTTTATCTTGAAGATTTTTAGTACAGGGCAAATGGGAGGCATATATGTGGGTTATTTGTTAAATATTTACCGGTAACTTTAATGTGCAGGCTTGTTATATATGTATACATGTATGTGTACATTGTTTTTAAAGGCTGTTAAACATGATAAGGGTTTGTGACTACAAACTACATGACACGAGCTGCATCTCTAAACTCACTTATTGGATCAAATTTGGCCCCTAATAAAAAACATCCCCATGAAAATCCTGTCGGCCATTTTGCAGGCATCCTAACTCTGCTGCCATCGCGGGGGCAATTGAAACAAGGACACTCGCTACTACTGGCTCATGCCCCGCGATTTCCCCGTTCCAAAACTCAAGACCGGGGCCCCCGTCTGATCTGTACGAGAGATACGGACAGAACGGATAGTGACTTACGTCTCTATTCCTCCACTCAACCTTCCAATGATTCCTGTCATTAATTGCAGGTTTTCAGAGGACGTTTTCAATTTCTTGCTCTGTTTATAGCCAGCGCTTGCTAGTCTCTGATATCCAAACTCTTTGTAGTATTTATATGCACGTGCTGGCTCAAGTGAGGTTATTAAAGTGATGTATTTTTTTGTTTGAGCAGCAAACTATGAGTAAAACCTATGAGGAAAAGAGTGAAATTACCTCTTGAACTGGTAGATTTAGATCAATTTAGAAGACATTCCTATATATCCAGTTTAAGTTTTGGCAAATGACATTTACAGTATTTGTAATCTTGAACATTCAGTGTAAGTTTCGTTTGATTCTGTGAGAATTCATTTTCTTTTTTTTAAACCAGAACTCACCTTTATCTTTAAAGAGTACATACACATGTACATGTATGTACATGTATGCCTCAATATCTACTATGAAAATTGAGAAAAAATATACAATACAATATAGAATGGAAAATTGTAAATTTCTCAGCTCATTCATGACAAGAATGCCATATTAAAAACAAATTGAAAAAAAAACAGGCATCTTTCAATAAGCAGTCAAATGATTTTTCAAGTGACAAACTAAACTCTTATAACTCATTTTCCTTTTTTTTAAATGTATTATTAATGTAAAGTAATAACTGACAATATATTTTTAAATATTATGTCAGATATGTTTTCTTAACCTTATTACTTTGGGGAACTCTTACAAAAAATAAAATGCAAAAGATCATGGCATTGGAATATTAAAAAGTTTGGTCAAGTAGTATTACTTTGGAAATTTCTCTTTTCTTACAGGGTTGCAATCATGCTTATTAGGTTAAAATTAGTCTTCCAATGAAATAGAAGATCTTCAAGTGCTAGAGACCCTCAAGTCACATAACAATAATAATATGTAATTTTTATATAGCGCTTAATACAAATGTCTCTAAGCGCTTTACAAATATACTATTACCTCGGTCAGATTCAAAGTTCTTCTTGTTGTAACGAGGGCCATTCCAAAGCTGAAACTCATGTATTTATTTACAATTGGGTCAAAACGTGCTCGAGTTCATTTGCTAAATTGCTTTTTTATCCTTCTGGCAGAGTGCCTGAGGGTAACGGTGTTTTGTTATGGTGTTGGAATTAGTTCAGAAGTGCTTGCCCATCACGTGTCCCAAGTATTAAATCATGGAGGATTAAAGAGTTTGGCAATGAACATGAGCCCTCCCACATACAAGTACAGCATGAATGTACATGTATGGGACCATTTACATGACAGAGATTTTTTGTTGTTGAAAAACCACTGTTTCTGTTTTTCAACTATCATTTACACTATCAGTAAAAAAAAAGAAGAAAACTGTCAGCGTTTACTTTGTCCTTTTTTTTTGGAGGGGGGGGGGGGAGGAGGCGAGTTGTGGGCATGTGTCACTTGTTGCTGCTCTGCATGCTTTAGTATAGAAGCAAGGAGAGTCACACAACCAAAACAGGAATAGTTCCAACAGTGTTTGGAGCATGAGCATTTACACTGCAGTTTCCAGTGGAGTTTCCAGTGGAGTTTCCGCTGGCGTTAAAGTTAATTTTTTGAAAACTCCAAAAAGTGGGTTTTTCCAATTTTGGGTAGTCGTGCTCCAATTTGTGTAAGCAGTGCACCTAGTCCATGGGGTACATTAAAGCCTAGCTGCACTTGTTTGGCCAGAATGGATTACTGCAAGGTCACTGACCGGTGGTTATCTCAAAAGGGGATCATGGGGGGGATCAACGGGTACCGATTAGGCATTGTTTGCTATATAGAGGGCTCAAGTAGCTAGTGCAGTGGGGCTTTAAGAGTCGAGACCTACCTATGGGGTTCCCTGAGAGTTCGTCCGGAAGCTCAAAACCCGTGGGGACTTCTTGTGCCTTTGGTTCTGTTTTGATTCTCAATGCCTCCGGACCGCCAATCATAATGTTATACCTCGTCAGATCTTTAGAGTGTAGACCGTCTTGGTATCCAAGCTGAAAAGAGAATGAAATTAGATGTGATGATAATGATTGTATATAAGCTGCATTTATTCTTAACTAAATTATACATACATTTACCAAGTTTGGTATTTTTTAAATAAGGGAAACATTTCTTGATATTAAGGACTTTTAGATTTGCACAACGACAACATGGATTGCTACGATCGACGTCCTTTTTTATGCACTGCCTTGAATGGGCATCACACGTATCAGTACACGCAAATCCAAAAGTCCCTATTGTGACTTATGAGAGCTTACTTCTAAAGGCATTCAACAAAGGCTTGAATTCAACCAGTCCACTTTTCTTTGAGTTACAAAAAAAATAATTAAGTTGTTAACTGTACGTGTTTGTGCACATACATGTATCAATCACGACAGATGTTCAATGCGTCTCAAAGGTACTCCTGTTACCCCCATCTAGCTCTCTAAAGGCCCTGAAAACATCTAAGGAAATATTCCGTTTTCCTACACCTGGGTTGAAAGTGGCAAATGTCTATCAATGTTTTTCCAAAGGCAGTGTGACATATCAATAAAACACAGATAACTCCATGTTTACACTTGATACAATCAAGAAATCACTACACTTGTAACTGTGTTCTGTTATATTATGCCACGGCGGAACCACTGGTCCCAGATTGTTGAATCTACAACTGTAAAGTGTTTCAGAATAAAATACCCAACTTAAAAAACAAAACGGATGAAATGGAAAGAACTAGAAAGTAGAAACAAGAAATTACAATATATTATATTCGTCTTCTACTGCCTGGATTAATAGAATGTCAGTATATCCAAAATAAAACCCTATATAAACAGTAACCCCATTATTAAAGTAAATTCAAAGTACACATCCTGGTCCTTTAAGCAGAAAAATGAACACAATTTCTTTTCACAAATGGCAATAACATTTGCAATGTTTATATTCGTGGGCACACTCACACATAATTGCGGTTGAAAAGGATAAGAAGCAAGAAATTCGGTGATCAACATAGGAAGAGGAAACAGAGGAATAACATGGTTGCCAAAGTAATGTTTAGGTAAACAAGAGCCAAATCAGTCTGGATAAAAGTCAATAAACGCCTTTCAATGAAAAATGTAACACATGGATACAGATTATATACTGTAGGAAGAGTCTCTTCGAGTTCTACAATGATGTTATTTTTCCCTTCAGTGGGAACAGTGATTTGTAGATTTTGTTATTTGTTTGTGTAAAGTCTAATTTTGTTGTTGTTGACTAGAATTCCTTTTCAATTGGAAGGAACAAAATCTTGCCACAAGCAATTCTCATGACTTTGGTTCTAAAACTTTCAAAAAGTTTGTTTTACTAATTCAGGGCTCTGTTTTAAACAGAGATTTTGAGCTAGCCAAGCTAAAACTACCCCCCATTCCCATTTTGTTCACTTGCAGTAAATATTGTTGATGACTAAAATCTAAACTTCCAAATAAAGAAAACTCATGCCTGTAGTGAAACCAGCGCTGAGTAGCATCACTAAATCCTCCCTTCAAGCAGTTTGCAAGAATACATGCCCCCCCCCCCCTCCAACATGTACAGTCAAACCTGTCTATAGCGACCGCCCAAGGAAACACAAAAAGTGGTCTTTGAAGACGGGTTCCTTTAATACATGTTACAATGAGAAACCATTTTGAAGGGAAAACAAAAATGTGGTCTTTGTAGACAGGTGGTCACTAAAGCAGGTTTGACTGTATATATGTCCATGCAAACGCCATAATTTGTCGCTGTTTTCACGAAGTGACGGTAGTGAAAAAAAATTGCATTCACTTTGTGTTACGATTTTCCTCCCTACCGTCACTTTGTGAAAACAAGGACGAATTGTTTGTTGAGTAACAGAAAATTTGGCTCCTGCTGGCTCATGTGTACATCATCTCCAAACACCTAGGCAACATACATGTACTGTATGTGCAGGGTCAATGCACTTTCACATCCTTGGGGACGATTTATACCAAATAAAACATTTTGATCTGAAGAACACCCATCTGATGGTGATGGTTGTTATTTCAAAGCTAAGAGGCTTCTTCATGCCTTTAATCAAGAGTAAAGGAGAGAGGGAAAAGAAAGAAAAGAGAGAAAAAGAATTTTTCTTACCCTTACCAAGTTTTGTAGGTTTTGCAAAATTTACAAAATAGATTTGGCCCAATTTATATTTCTTAAGAATAATACTGGAATAATACATATCAAAGTTTACATCTAAAAGCATTTTATAGTTGGTAGGGCAGGTTTTATCATCATGGCAGGCCCTGTGATGAAGCATGCTTTACTGGATGATGAACGAAAAGCCAGCCGAGAGTGACCGTTCGTTAGTTCCCCGTTAGTTGCCGCAGACTCGATTCCGAAAAGCCTTATGCCTAGCCTAATAGACAGTCTTTGGTCTTGTCAGGAGCAATTTTTAACATTACAGGTTCTATGGAGAAATAATAATGTTCTTGAATGTGATCTATACATAGTCTTGCAGTTCAGACAATCTGTTTATACATTACGTTATTTACGACTACGTTTACACCTGCAAACTCCCCTTTGTAGTTTCCAGGCATTATCTCCAATATGTGGGCAACACAATGTCTTAACTGTAAGACTATGCAGACCGAAGGGTCTATTGCAGTCTGTTCTATAGCTACATGTTTGGCCAGAGACCTGACTAGAATTAGGCTTGGCTCAAGACCTTACGGAATCGTGCCTACATCTGTGTGTGTGTTAAATAAGAGTCTGTATCTACAGACTATCACTGCTGCTATCAAACAAGGATCAGCCCTATGCCTGTCTATCAACACAGCTGCACAAATGGTGTAAAAAAACAGATGACTGGATAATACAGGGAGTCAGGAAAAAGTGGTCTGATAAAAAAAAAGGGCAATAACATCTCAGCCAGAGTGATCAATTTCTTTGCCCACATGTTTTGTAAAGTTATTTATTGGATGATGAATACATGTATGTAGAGGGACTTTCTTGCACAGACTACCCAACAGTAAACTATTACTAAGTGCCCTTACAATGTGTAATTACGTATAGCAGTGTATTCACATGGAAAAGCAACAGGGGTGTAACTTAAGAAAACCCCACCAATGTGAATGAAGCTAATATATAAGGTATGTGAAGTCGTGAACGTCATCCAACACCAACCGGTACATGTAGGCTAGAGTTAGAGTTAGAGTTGGGGTTGGGGTTAGAATTAGGATTAGGGTTACCTAAGAAACCTCAGTCTTTAGATTTCGCTTGATTATTGGAGTATTGGTTAACCTACAACTGTTTGGTCAACTTTTGTAGTGGGGTATTCTAAAGTCGCTCCGCAACATGTACAGGTGATTGATCTAGTAAAAATCCTCATAAATATGAATGCACACTAATATCCTGACAATCGTTAGGCCTACGAAGGCCCATGGTCATTGGGCCAACAGATACCTACATGAACATATGCTGTAAATAAAATGATACATGTGATTGTGCAACAGGTAGTTTTAGCAGGTACCACAAACAACAAATGGAGCACTCTCTGTCGAGACAGTCTCTTTCTTCGAAATATCTGACAACTAACACATCTCTCCAATAAAGAATACCCCAGTCCTTGTAAGGACTACACACATGGTGTACCCGTTAAAGTTTCTCTGAATTTTCTACCTCGCAATGCAAACCTATATAGAGAACAATTAATATAAATTTGTTATCCATTAGCATAAAAGAAACAGCATCAAAAACTAGATATGTTGGTAAATTACATGCATACATGTATATTACATGGAATGGGAAGAAATGAATCCAAGAATATTTAAATTTAAAAAAGTACATGTAAACATGAAGGCCTGAAACTAAAATAGTTGGCATGCAATGTATACGCACCTCTTTATTGAATGAGAAAAGGTATCTCTTTAATCCTTTAAAGTATCCACTAACCGATCAAAGATGGAACTAAAACCTTTCCAAATATCGAGGAAATATTTTGAGAATGGAATCGCTTATGGAACAGTGGCTGGATCCCAACTAGAACCATATATTCAATCCTGTAATAATTCCCAAAGGAGAAATCGAAAGGATATCTCGAAGAGCACGGCGACGGGGTCAAACGCATGTGCCTCTGATAAAAGTTTGCTACAGTTTTAACCTCTAGAACTTGATCCAAACCCGAGCCACAAACAAGCCAGCCCCGCATGAATCACCCCTGCTCCTCATTGGTCTAACCTTAATTGGCATTTGTCAGCCTGTATGCAAATGAGGCACAACTGTTTTAGGACTGCTCCATTGTTACCGCAGAGGGGGGATCTAGACAATAGGACCCGAGGGGAGGCTTTTGTGCCCTGATTAGCCAGGGGAAATCGCCACTTTCCTGCGATCACACCTAATTTACACTAGCCCATTTATCTACAGGAAACTTCTCCTTAGCGTTCTAACAAGAACAAGAAAAGACAGCTATACACAATGCCCTCCCAATCTTAAAAACTTCATTTAGACTCCAGCCCCACAACAACAACAACAACAAAACTCCACATCACAGCGAAATTACATGTACATCATATCAGTTGGACCAGAATTGTTTTTTAACGCAGACTCTATTGCTAATGAGACGGTATCGCAGCCACGATGAAAACCCCCGTTTGTAGAATAGTTGCGGCTCATGAGTTCAGCACTCTCAATTACTCACTTTTACAGAAATTAATGTTTGCAACAAGCCACATATACGGGCAAGCCTACATACATAATAGCCTACATGGTTTGTTCGATATAATATTCACACCATGCATATAGCAATAACATCTGCAAACTATCATATCGTCATTTGCCTTGCACAATTCTATAGACCTGCATTTCTCTCACTAACGAACAAAGCACATACACTTTGTCAAATACATGTAGGTCAACAACTTTTTGATGAGAAAAACTCATTTCAGAAACTAAAAGTACATTCAGATTTGTTTTCATGAGGACGAGGTTCAATCATTCAATGACAAGAGGAAAACATTCCCATGCAATATTTCCTGTACCATATCCC